AAATTTTCCATTCTACTTTAATCACTTAATCATACCTTTGACTACATGGAGGAGTTTCACTAATGATCTCCATAAGTCTAATTCACAACTTGGGGACATACTAGCCCCAAGAATGGCATTTATGCCACTCAGCCTTTGCACTTAGTCCAAGTGCTCCATGTATTCAACCTTGTAACCAACACCCAAAGGTACCGTCGACATACCAACCCATTACACTAAAGCCTTCGAATCCATGGCTTAATCTTTTGAGCCTCACGAACCTCATCAAGAGAAGGTAGATCTTGCTCTGTGCCTTGTGGACACTGAACTTCAAGTACAACAACCGCCGACGGCACAAAATCCTCGTCTAGAAACGCTACAAATGCCAGAACAACAAGCTCGTTAGAAACATGAGAAGAGAGTGGAGAAAGAAGAGGAGCTCGAGAAAGGGCATCAACATCAGCCATAGAACTCCCTAGATGATGAACAACATCAAAATCATATATCTGAAGCTTCAAAGCCCACCGAGCAATACGACCAACTAGGTTCTTCCACTTCAATAATGAAGTAACAGCAGTATGGTCACCTTCAAATAACGTCCGAGAACCATGTCGATATGCATAAAGTTTCTTAAAACCCCAAACTGCTGCTAAACACTTTTTCTCTGTCGTGGAGTAGTCCATTTCCATTAGTTGTAATGTACGGCTTATATAAACAATAGGATAGCACTGACCAGGCACACTTGAGCTCTCTTGCATCAACACACCTCCAAGACCAATGTCAAAAGCATCCATACGCAAAATAAAAGGTCGAGTGTAGTTAGGATATGCCAAAAAAGGAGGAGTCATCAATAGCTCTTTAAAATCCACAAACACCCGCTCACAATCCGGAGACCAGATGAAAGACAACATTGATGACTTCAGTAACGCTTGCAACGGTGCAATCAAAAAGATGATCCACAAAACAACCAAGATATTGCACCTTGCCCAAGAAGCGCTATACATCATTCACACACTTTGGAGTAAGGAACTTTAGAATAGCCACAAGTTTGTCAGGATCAATTTATAAACCTTTACGAGAAATATAGTACTCAAGATAAGTTGTATCCTTGGACCCAAACACGCACTTTGACCGCTTCAATTTTAAACCAACATCCCGTAGCCGATGCAACACTTTACAAACATCACAAATGTGCTTTTCCGATGTCCCCTCCGAATGAATCAAGACATCATCAATGAAGTCAGCAGTCACCTTCGGCATATCGCAAAGAACCTCGTCCATCATCCATTGGAAAGTTGCTGGAGCATTGTTCAAACCAAACGGCATCACCAAGAACTCGTACAAACCAAACGATATACAAAAAGTAGTCTTAGGAATATCTTCTTCGGCCATTGGTACTTGCCAGTACCCAAAAGCAAGATCTAGCTTAGTGAACCAACGACTTCACCCCAGATGATCCAAAAGATCAGTAGTGTGAGGAAGAGGATACACATCCGGGATCGTCACTTCGTTTAACGGATGATAGTTGATGTAGAAACGAATACTCCCATCAGGCTTCGTCGCAAAATGAGGTTCACATACCCAAGGACTCCGTGACTTCCGAATAACACCCTTCTCCAACATCTCCTTGATGTTTGCATGTAAAATCTTAATCTCCTTGGGTGACCGACGACGAATAGGAACCTTGATTGGACGAGTATCCCTAGTTGGAATCAGATGACATGTGGCAATCTTGGCTCCAGATGATAAGTCAAATTCAAAGAGATCAGAATACTCCTTCATGAGCCAGTCAACTGCTGCAACACAAAGATTGTTGGAAGGATCGGAAAAAGGAAGAGTAGAACAAGATGGGAAACATAGAAAGAAATAGTGGGGGGACAAAAATAATGGAAGTAAAGGGACGAAGAGGTATAAAAATGAGAGGAATAGATGAAATATAAGGAAATATGAGACAACGGGGAGAAACCTTAAAGTCACACTTGGCACGATTGTGCTGCAACCAATCCATACCAAGGATGAGGTCAAAAGTTTGACTCGGCACCACCCATATGACTACAACCTAAGCTCGAGATCACCCACATGCACAACTAGATGTGCCTTATCCAGTGCACATGCATGTATACGGCCTTTGCCATAAAGAATGAAAATTGGCTCCACCACACGACACAAATGTAGATGGCAACGTGTGGCAACAGGTCGAGCAATAGAAGATAAACTTGAACCTGTATCAACTAGCACAGAGAGAATAATTGGAGACCTCTTGTTATAAAAATGAGTTTGAAAAGTAAACACTAGATGAACTAGTGCCAAGTGAACCCCTTAATAATACTCTTGAAAAAAAAATGGAGGGGTCATTGACTTATTCGCACAAGGTCCCTTTGTTACTCACTATAAGCTCCTGAATTTGGACTTCCCAGGAGGTCACCCAGCCCAATACTATTCAAACCCAAGGACGCTTAACTCCAACTATCCCAAGACCCTTAACCGATTGGAAAAAGGGGTGTACTCTTGTTCATGGGCCCTTTCCCTCTATATTTGAACCTCATGGATCGTTTCTCAAATCGTTCTCTTTGGTTGCTTATAATCCACCACGCTTCCCTGCAAGTTCACGCCCTCGTGAACGGAAGCTGAGAGCCGCAGCTCTCCCGAGAGCCCCGCTCTCTTGACACCCTACCCCTCGGGTCGAGCCTAGCGGGAGCAAACTGGACCAGCCAGATGTCAATCAACATGTGGTGTGATTCCCTTAGCCAACCAACAGAGTCAGACCTGAGACCCCTCTGATACCAACATGTGGTGTGATTCCCTTAGCCAACCAACAGAGTTAAGCGTCCTTGGGATAGTTGGAGTTAAGCATCCTTGGGTTTGAATAGTACTGGGCTGGGTGACCTCATGGGAAGTCCAAATTCAGGAGCTTACATTTGGTATCAGAGGGGTCTCAGGTCCGACTCTGTTGGTTGGCTAAGGGAATCACACCACATGTTGGTATTAGAGGGGTCTCAGGTCCGACTCTGTTGTCCCAAGGACGTTTAACTTCAACGAATAGGAACCTTGATTGGACGAGCATCCCTAGTTGGAATTGGATGACATATGGCAATCTTGGCTCCAGATGATAAGTCAAATTCAAAGAGATCAGAATACTCCTTCATGAGCCAGTCAACTGCCGCAACACAAAGATTGTTGGAAGGATCGGAAAAAGGAAGAGCAGAACAAGATGGAAACATAGAAGGAAATAGTGGGGGGACAAAAGTAATGGAAGTAAAGGGACGAAGAGGTATAAAAATGAGAGGAATAGATGAAATATAAGGAAATATGAGACAACGGAGACAAACCTTAAAGTCACACTTGGCACGATTGTGCTGCAACCAATCCATACCAAGGATGAGGTCAAAAGCTTGACTCAGCACCACCCATTGACTTATTCACGCAAGGTCCCTTTGTTACTCACCTGACTCGTCGTTTCTTAGATGCATCTCGGTGTCTAGACCTTTCACTATAGCAGCACCAATAGGACATTGTTGACGCCAAGGTCTCCACCTAGGAAATGGAGGTTGTCAATTTGGAAAATGTTGATAACGCTGATAATTGTGACCAACTTCATCACACACCCAACAGTGAACATCACAACTACGACCACATCCTTGCCCATGTCCTTAGACTTGAGCAGCAGCAGCATCAACTTCCATTGGAACAGGACTATCACCTATAGAAAGTGAAGTTGAAGGACGTGTAGTGAGAAGTGGAAAAAGTGACGACTCATAGCCTTGTGCCAAGCGAAAAGCATCGTCAAAGGTGACTAGAGCAAGTGCATGCATAAGTCCAATAAAATCTTGACAAAGTGCTAGCCAAAACATTCTTAGCTTGATCTGCTTTGACATATTTGGCTCCACACAAAGCGGAAATGAATGCCAAATTGCATCACTAACTCAGATGGCCTTTGACAAAGACGATACAATTGTTATAAAGCATCATCACAATCGTTGGCATGTCCGAATGCACATTTGAAGACATCTGAGAGAACACTTTAATCCCCACAAATGGCTATGCTCAAACCATTGTACCACTACAATGTTGTCCTTTAAAGACATATGGGAAACTCACGCAAACATTACCGTGAAGTGATTGAATCAATGATACACATCATCCTTAGGATTCCCGCGAAAGAACTCTTGCCAAACACAAAGATTAGCACCAAGAGCAAGAGGAGCTGTACCATGTGCTATGAATGCCGCCATCAACTGAGTTTGGTTGTTTAATTGCAATCATATAGTATTAAGTAATTGCACCAACTGCTACTCTAGAGTAAAAAGAGGAGGAGACTGTTGATTTGCTATGAAGATGAATGAAAAAGAAAGAGCAAAAGAAAAGAAGTGAAAAGAAACTAGAAGGGATCTAAACAATGCAAAAGTTAAATCTAAACTAAAATCCTGAAAGGAAAGAATAAAAAAAAGGAAATGGAAAAAATTAGATCTAAATAATGCAAAAGTTACATTTAAACCAAAATCCCAAATCTAAGCACTCTTTAGGGACAATAAAAAATGCCTTACATCTCCACCAATGTGAGTGCATGGAATATGGAAAAGAAATATAGAAAATATGCATATCAATTAACCCAAAAACCCGAGCTTATATACAGAAGTAAGTGGTTCGAATTGAAACCAATCTGACGGCTATCAAAATTTCACTATACTAATATTAATACATGGCATCGTAATTGTACACTTAAACCTCACAATGCTAATTATAGTATTATTTTATGACTTTATCTAATCTATTCAATATTGTATATAAGGAGGGGTTTCAACCCTAATTAATATACTTATTTCTATATCCTGAGCACTCACAGTATATGTTTAAATGAAATGAAAAAAACTTTTGAATATATAAATAAAATTAACAAGCGTCTTCAATTTATTATGGATAACTCAACACTTTCCTTTAAAAAATATAATCTTTAACTCTCATTTAATTGTTTTAAATAAATTTAAAACAATAATATAAATTTCATAATATAAATTTCTTAAACATAGCCCTAACCTCCTCCCGATCGTGCCACGCGGGTGCCGGGCGGCGGCTGAATACCCTCTAACCTAACTGTTGGCGGCTAAGGATGGCGTCCTCTTCCGCGTCGCTTCAGGAGCTTGAGCGTTCCATCCGGGCTGTGGGCACTGAAATCGAAGAGCTGGGAGAGCAACTGAAGTGTGAGAAAGATCCTGAAGAGAGAAAGCGTCTGTGGGGGGCGAAGTGGCAACTGCGGGAGAAGGAGGAGCAGCTGCGGGAGAAGGAGCTTCTCCTGCTCAAATCTAATGGTACTTTTTCGCTATGCGCGATCTATTCACTCCTACTAGCCTTGCCCCAATCCAGCTGCTTTCCTCATCATCTACAGCTCTGCCGCAAAAGCCCCAAGTGTGCGTCTTTGTTTCGTTGCATTTTGCCGATCGCAAAAGCCAGGCGTTGCAATCCCATTTTAGACTCGAGGTTGCACTTCCATTATTTTGTATTTTACCCATTGTATGTGTTCTTAGTTTCTGATTTTCCCCGCCACCATGCATGCTCATTTTGTTTCTGCCGTTTTTTTTTCTCCGTTCTAAGCTTGTGCTTTTGTCTTGTGCAGCTCAAGAAATTCCAACTGCTGGTGAAGTATTAATCGAGGCTCTCCCCCGCGTAGACGCTTTTATCCAAAAGGCCCGGGAGTCTATCAAGCAGCTTGGAGCTGTGCCCACAGTGAAGGGGAAGCCCAGCCTACTTTTAGCGGGCTTGGGAACAAGCTTTCTGACGCAGTCTGGTGATCTGGGCAAGATGCTAGACAGTAAAGGTCCGGTGGTTTCTGTGGTGGGCACATCGGGTTCAGGGAAAACAAGGACGTTGCTGGAGCTTCTCTGTTCGAGAATTGGGCTTTACTTCGTAGCTGACATGCAGGGTAACTTTGGGTTTGAGGACTTAACATTATTGCGCAGCTTGGTTCTGGAAGGCGTGGCATATGACGTTCGAGCTGCTCTAGCTCAGTCGGTAGTACGAGCTTCAGTTTTAGCTCGGTTATTTCTACTTAAGCGTTGTCTTGAGGTGAAGTTCTCGGCACGGGAATGGTTGCTACTCCAGCTTCTGGGAAGTCAGTTTGTGCAGGTGGATATTTGCAGGGATTTAACGGGGTCTTTGCTCGTCAAGTTGGAAGCTCTAGGTGTAGTGAGAAGGCAGGAAACCTTAGAGGAAGAGATCAATGAGCAGTGGCAGCAGGTTATAGGGATGGCTACTGATGTAGTCGTTGTGTTGGATGAAGCGCAGGCGCTCTTCGAGTTGCACAAAGATCAGTTTAAGCCTTTTGGCGGAGGGACTGGGACGAGGAGTTCGTTCCATCAAGTGTATGAGGCACTTAGCCGGCCTTCCAGAGGTGTGACTGCCAAGCTGCTGCTCTCGGCTACTTGTTTGGCCGGATACAAGGAAACGGAGGTTTTCTCGCCGGCAATTGCCAAACAGCTGTTACGGGGTCCTGCTTTCTGTTCCTTCGGCAAGTTTCGAGACACGGGCGACATGTACAAGTACATGAAGAATTTTGTCGCTGTCGACGACACTGTTGATGAAGAGTTGCTCCAGAGGTTCGTAGGGAGATACAGACCACTGGCTCTGGTTCTTGAGGATTTTCTGGAAAAGCAACGCTCTCTCAATGAGTCGCTTAAGAGTGTCCGATCGATGCTCACGAAGGAGGACTGGGAAGGATCTTACGTCACGGTTTTGAAGCGCATCCAGGTCCAGATTCACGGTGTGGAGCTGATCCAATTGTGCCGGATGATATGTCTGACAATCCAATATGTTGGAAAGTACTACTGCACCAGGAAAGAGGAAGTCGAGCTGATTCACCATGGGCTAGCTTATTTGGATGCTGTTGATGTGGATAAGGGAGAGTTCGGGCTGGAAGGAACGATCGAGGAACCACTCGTGTTGGAAGCGCTTGAGTACTATTTCCGTGAGGACAACGCCCTTCTTCACATAATGAATCGTCTCAATTCACCATCGGCAGGATTCAACCTCGAGATAGCTGCAGCAGATGCTCTTTGCAGTTTTCTTTCGGCTGGCAAGTTCAGTAATCATCCTATCTTTGAGGGCGCGACTGCTTTACCAGACATCTTCTGCCAGCAGCTGAGGTTGTGGTCAGCAGACAGCCTTCGACTGGTGTGTAGTACCAAGGGAATGACGAGCTACCTCGCTGGTGGGGTGGGAACAGCAAAGGTTCTCCACCCGGAATTCCTAGCAGGTCCAGATCTGGTGATCCCACTGAAGACGGAAGACAACAAGGAGCTGATCCTCTTTGCACAGTTCAGACTCCTGAACTTTCTTGACAAGAAGAAGTTCGAGCAGGGCGTGTCGACGACGAACCCTGAGTTCATATTCAGGTCTCGCAAGGCAGCAAAACTGAGGGCAGAGTTCAAGGAGGAGGTTGGTAACCGCTGGTGGAAGAACGGCATTATCAGGTTGATGGTAGTGTATCCAGCAGTCTTCAAGAAGGAGCGTATGCCTCCTGCTGTTGAGGTGATTCCTGCTGCAGGCGGTGTTGGTCCCCAGCTCAAGATCATCATTCATGCTGGCAACGCAAAACAATTGTTTTCTCAGGAGTAAGTGGTCTTCATCTGTGTAGTGTGATTGTTGCTAACTTGTTTTGACAGTTTGGTAAAATTTCTAGGCGTGTACAAGGGTTTGAAAGTTGGAGAGCCCAACTCCTTGGGACGTGCAGTTGGTAAAGTGCTGGCATTGGACTTGCATCACTCTCTCATGGACAGGCCTAGGAGGAAAAGAGATTTCGATGTAGCCTTCACTGAACCGGAAGACTACTGGGGTGATGAGGAAGGAATGGAGTTGGATGTATAAACTGGCAACTGTAAACAGGTAATCTAGTGTTATTACAAGTTAAAGAGTAACTTGATTGATTTCACTTCTTCTCCTTCAGGCATGCTGGACAAAGGTGTCTTTAATTTCTTATTGTTTATGTTAAAAGCTTTCTTTTTCTTTAGTGTCTTGAAGATTGTGTTATGCCATCAGTTTATTAAAGGCTATAGTTTCTAAATATATAGTAAGGATGGTGGGTAAGTTGGAGGTATGGTCAACTGGTTATGTTTTGTGTAACTACTTGGGTTCTCACTGTTGTGTTTTGTGTAATTATTTGGGTTCCCACTGGTTGGTCTAAACCCAAGACTTTGGTTTGGGTACATATTAATTGGTGGAGTATTATATGTTGCTGAAATTAAACTTCATTTGTATGTGCTTTTGTGATTATTTTATGATAATTAGCTGAGTATTATCTAGTAAGATTAGGTAACTTTTTATTGCTATTGCATTGTATGTTACTAATTTATGCCATATTGTATAATTTTTTTCTTAGACTCATATGAGATGGATTTCAAAATGTACCATTTGTACACTCAGAAATACCTGAGTGGAATGGCCAGTCACAAAAATTATATAGTAAATGTAAATAATAAAATTCGTTTTTAAAAATTCAAGGATTATTTTGGAATCTATTACTTCTAATTAATATATTAACTTATGGTTGAAACTTAAAGTTACACTTTAAGTTCACAATATTAGCCTATCAATAGTTACTATGAGTTATTACTATATTACTATGGGTAATAAACAACCTCCTTTGGGTTTGCTATAACAAATAGACTAGTTTGTAAGCAATATACTTAACTTAGTTGTAAGTGTGGTTCCAAATGTATATAGTTGTAAATATAACCAACCATTTAAAACATTAATTTGGCTCATACAAAGTTTTATTCTGCGTCTTATTTAGGTTTAAGCCTAAGTTCCATGTTGCTCTAGTCAATGGGGTACCTACCTTAGACTGTCAGTATGCCAAAATTGTGTCAAACACTTTTTGACACTGTTTTGCATACAAAAGTTGGATATAGAGAGCTAGTGCTTACAAGGGATTTTAAGTGTATACTAAACCTTTGTTTTATAGTACATATGAATTTAGAGTTGAAATCAAAGCATATTTGTAGCGCACCTTATCTCTCTCCCCTTAAGCCAACTGGAAAAGGGGCAATTGCTTAATGAGAGAGCCCTTAGTGGCTATTTTATCCCCATTTATCCCCTAAGGGTTCAAGGATCTACGGTGACAGTATATCTAAATCTCATTTCATAATCACATGCACTACTCTTACCCCCCCTTTAGAGATGTCAATATCCTCATTGACTATTGACTAGCAACCCCTACTGAAACTAGCACCTCCATTTCCGCATTCAATTTACTAATTCTTTCATTGTATAAACCAGCTATTCCATGTGAGGCAACTAATCATCCACTCGTACTATAGTCCCACGGTGGATAGCTATTCCATGTGAGGCAACTAGCCATCCACTCATACTACAATCCCACGATGGATACCTTCATCCGTGGATACTCCACACAAACAAAAGGAAAGACGTATGCATGGATGCTCAATACGTACGATTTCAAATTTAGGGGTAGGAATATACCTTGCTCAAGGGTATACGTACGATTTCAAATTTAGGGGTAGGAATATACCTTGCTCAAGGGTATATTATATTTTTAAGTAACCACTAATTAATAGGAATCGAACCCATGCCATTTGCTCCAATACCACATGTAACGCACTTTATCTCTCTCCCCTTAAACTAACTGGAAAAGGGGCAATTGCTCGATGAGAGAGCCTTTAGTGGCTATTTTATCCCCATATATCCCCTAACGTTCCAAAGATTCACAATGACAGTATATCCAAATCTCATCCTATGATCATATGTGCTACAATATTGCACTATATTTAGTATTAAAGGAATTGTCTTAGTGGTTCCAATCCAATTGCATACACAAAGATTTTCAAAGATCCAAATTGATCTATATATGATTAGTTAGATTGCACTATTTGTTAAGAATGTTGTATGCATGTTTATTTATTGATAGAGGTATGTATATAACTGATGAGATGGCAAAACAAAATTATGCTGAAACACTAAAACATCTAGTTTAAATAAATCAATTTATAATAAATCAATAATAAATCAAGAAGAGGAAACTCTATGCTATAAAAGAGGCTAAGGCTGAGTGAAAAGAGGAAGAGCTTGGGCTAGATGCTATACCACAACATATAGCTTAAGATATTGAGATTGAGAATTTGTGAAAAGAAATTCACAAATTAGAAAAATAGAATAAAAAGATGAAGAAAAAAGTAGAGGCAAATAAAGTAGCTACACTTAAGCAATTAGAATCCTCTTCAATCTCTAAGGACAATGGAATTTTGTTATAATAGCAATTGTAACTAAATACCTTTAGGCAATATAAAATCCTCCTTTTGTACCATAAGAGTCTCAAAAAAAAAAAAAAATTTACTAAATAACCTTTACTATATGTTTTTTTAGATTATTCTCAAGTCATGGTTGTAATAGCATGCATCCTCAAAGGTGCCAAATTTATAACCAAGCTTTTCTCACTCATGATGCCTTATGAGAATGTTGCCAATGGAGAATTTCAAAATCAACTTGTTTAAATCTCTACACTTGAATGACAATAATTGAACTATCAAGCATAAGGTGGTAAAGATCTTGGAAACAAGACTTTAATATATGATTTTGAATAGGCCAAGACAATTGCTACAAACAAATGAAAAATCTAGTATATTTAAGTTAAAATATAAAGGGATAAGGCTTATAAACAAAAGTGCACTGTTTTTTTTAATTAGTTAAAAGTTTTGCAATATATAGAGTTTTTTAGTGGCCCATCCTACTCTATTCCCTTTAGCACATATGTCTAAGGATTGGGTTTCAATTTGTGGTTATCCTATGATATGTTACCATAGAGTATAAAGTGAAAACCACTATATTATATTTACATTCCCACAAAATAGAAAAAGAAGGAAGAAAAAATAGATTTATATTATGAAACAAACAAAAGATTTCTACTATATACTCAAAAATATGAGTATGATTTCTACTATATACTCTGCATATTCCAAAATCACTCCTTCAACTAGACAATTTCCATCCAGTTCTCTAATGAGCTTTTGGGGTTAAGATCTTCATGTATTTATTCCATTCGGTCCTATTGACAATTTATAGAAAATGTTTAAATTTGCTAGTGAGGCATATCTACAAAATGTAGAAATTGTCTTGAATACAATGGTGTTCTTCCCATATCCAAATTCACAATCTAACACCATTCTATATTTAATAAAGTTTTATGATTGTCCTAAAAAGTAACTCCTGGGACTGGGGTGAAAACCCAAAGTATGTGTTCCTCTAGGGGGGTTGGAAGGGGTTCCAAATATATAGTAGGGATAGTGGGTAGGTCAAACATGGCCGACTGTAAACAATTAAATTTTCCATTCTACTTTAATCACTTAATCATACCTTTGACTACATGGAGGAGTTTCACTAATGATCTCCATAAGTCTAATTCACAACTTGGGGACATACTAGCCCCGAGAATGGCATTTATGCCACTCAGCCTTTGCACTTAGTCCAAGTACTCCATGTATTCAACCTTGTAACCAACACCCAAAAGTACCGTCGACATATCAACCTGTTACACTAAGGCTATACCCATTCAACTTTGTCACACCAATGGTCCAAGACCATTTACATCACAGATTGGGCCATTTATGCAAGAGTGGTCATCCTATGACCACACCTTAACATCCTTAGGATGCTTGAAGACATGGGGAACATCCTTCCTCAATGTCCTTTCTTCAGTTCCCACCAAGTCCCTATCTACAACCATGCTCACCAACACTACTACTAGGTCAAGGCCTGAAGGCCTGACCACAAAGTCCTAGTGACCTTTGGGACTTCCTCACCATGTGACCATATTTTTAACCACTACACAAAAGGTTTACTCCTCTTCCTTTCCTCAGTTCGGGACTTTGGAATGCTATTTTGAAACATCGTGGCCCTACACGAGCCTCGTGGGTACTCTCCCCACCTTCCGCTTATTGTCCCTTAGCAATGTGGGTAGAGCGAGGTTCTAATGAGCCACACCAGGTATCCAAGTAGGTAGTGCCACCCACACTTGTATTGAGTGCATCAACTATTCGATCTCTTGGGGGAGCTAGAGCCAGCTGGTGAACACTTCACTAAGTTACCCCACTTGTCCATCCATGTTCACTCTAGCCTTGAACTCCTCAGTGGTTATATCATTACCCACTACATGAGTATAGCCTTCCTTGGTCACACTGGCCTTTCCTGACCAAACTAGCTCCACTGGAGTCCTCCCCCTACTATACTTTTGGAGCTCACCAAACCCCTCAGGGTCTGGGAGATGAACGCTTTGGGCTTTCACCCTCGGACTCAGACTCAGACTTAGACTCAGACTTGCACTCAAACTTGAACTTGGACTCGGACTCGAATTTGAACTCGGACTCGAACTCGGTCTCGGTCTTAGTCTCGATCTCAGTCTCGGTCTCGATCTCAGTCTTGGTCTCGGTCTTGGTTTTGACCTTGGACTCCATCTCAGGTCCTTCTCGGACTCCATCTCGGACTCTATCTCGGGTCCATCTCAGACTCCATCTTGGACTCCATCTCGAACTCCATCTTGGACTCTATTTCACACTCCTTCTCGGACTCCTTCTTGGACTCCATCTCGGACTCTATCTTGAACTCCTTCTTGGACTCATTCCTAACACTTCTATGTGTTATGACACTTGCCATATGTCAGTCCTTCTTGTGTCCCTTTTTTAAGACTCATTCATTTATTGCTCGCTTTATGCTCGTTCTTTGAGTACTTCATTGGGAGTTCCACTCTCACTCTCGACTTTTCAAATTGGAGCTTAGTCCAAACATGTTACACTTTTTTAGCTTCTGCTTCAGTCATTACCACGAAGTACCCTTTTGGCTGCACTTTGGGGCTCTCGGATTTGTGTCTCACACCAACTAACTTGAGGCATAATATAACTTTTTATTTGCTTGTTTGTCCTTGTTTTATGTCCGGTTTAAGTCTAAGCCCAAGTTTAATACTATATTAGCTAGTGGAGTACCTATATTTTCATGTTAGACCATTAGTATACTAAAATTGCATCAAATTCCATTTAGCTCTGTTTTACATATTGGTCTTAGCATTAGGTTGCTGGATG